GCCTACCTTGTTAAATACGAGTTAGTGTGCCGGTTAACCACACACGCTCCACTAACCGACTTAAACAAAGTGCAAAGTGTAATTCCATGGATTAGCACCTTATTCACATTTTCCTAAGTAACTAAGATTGGGTATTACTAAAAGTTTAGTTACTTAGTATATATCATTAATACTTTTAATGAAGGGAAAATTATAGTCCTGTCAAACCCGTTTGGCTAACGACCATCCACCAGTCAAGGAAGCGGTGGGTGAGAGTGGACACCCATTAAACTGCCATTTTATAGGTAGTAACCTTATACCCACCTTATAGACCGGCTTCGTGAATGAGGCCTACTAACGATAAGACTGACTTTACTCTTATACATATATATAAATATTATTAACTTATAATATTATAAAGTATAAGGGTTGAATTTTAACTTTTAAAATTCTAAGGGCTAACTTGGAATTAAAGTATTCATAAGTGAACACCTTTTGAATTCCAAAACTTGAGGGCAAGTTTTGAAATTATTCAAAACTAATTAATTTCATAACTTATGTGTTTAAAGTAGTTTTAATCCAAAAACTCTTCAAGTTCCATGACTTGAGGACCAGTTATGGAAGACTTTAAACTAATAAAAGAACTAACTTTTCTTTATTTTATAACTTATGGAATTATTAAGGTTACACACTTTATTCTTTAATGAAGTGACTCTTGAACCTCCATAACTTGAGGACAAGTTATGGAGTCATAAATACAATTAATGATGACAAGACTCTTCAATTTTTGTAACCATTGCCAACTTTTATGAGTATTTAATGTGACTCTTCATGTAACTCGAGGACAAGTTACACAAACACATCTTATACTCAACTCTTAGATTAAAATGGATTGAAAACAACTATTTCAATTAACTTTTCTATTAATCTAAGCAACTCATAAAAATAAGATAATTCAAATCAAACTTTTTCATGTAATTAGTCTAAACTTTAAACTAATACAAAACATGAATCTATTGACAATTATCTTTGAAATTGGATTAGCATGAACATTACCACATCAAAAACAAGTTTATAAGTCCAAAAACATCTTAGGGTAATGTTCCTAGTCCAATTCTAGCCAAAAAGTCGAATTTATGCTGTCTGGGGGTCCAACTCGTCGAGTGCATGAACCAACTCGGCGAGTTGGATCGATTTGACCACTTTTTATGCATGGACTCGCCGAGTCTGATGATCAGACAACAAACAACTTCAATTTTTTAACCAGTTTTGCAAGTATAACAAGAAAACAAGCCTAGGCTCTGATACCACTGTTGGGTTTTGAGCATTCTAACACTTCTAAGGTGTACATGCAACCCTATAAACCTTGGATCTATGTTTTCTCTATTATACATGCAAATAAGAACTTTCCAAGGCTTTAATCCTAACTAGCATAATATGAAGTTCTTATACTACAAAGTACTAATTAGATGACATACCTTTTGATGTCTCTTGATGTCTTCAAGCTTTAAGAGCTTAACCCCAATAGTGTGGAAGCCTCAAGTGGAATCACAAATCACCAAAAATACCTTGGAGGACTTTAGAGAATATGGATACTTGGTTCTCTCTAGTGAAATCGGCTAGCCCTTCTTAGTGTACCACACTAGTGCCAATTTCACCAACCAATGACATCTTTATACAGTATGGAGACTAGGGTTAAACCCATGACCTTTCATTTCATATGATCCATGGGTTAAACACTCCATGGACTATCCATGAGAGCTTAGCCCAACCTAAATGAACTTGGCCCATTCCATATATATAAGAGTCCATATTTAATTAATTCATTTTGATCACTTAATTAATTCTTGATCAATACTAATTAAATAATATGATTCCTTATTAATATATTATAACTTATAATATATTAATATTAATCATAAATATACTATTCTCAAAAGACTATTCATATAAATTGTGTTGGTGAAGTGCAACCCAAATGGACCATGTCGGGTCAAGTACATACTAAATATAGTTATGGACTTAGACATTAATCCAACAATTTGTACAACTACATTAAACATAACAAAGATAGTGCACATAGTAATTAAACATTTAGAATACTTATATCTATGCATAAGCTTGAAAGTAAGTATGTGCTTACTGGTTAAAGTGATGAGTCGAAATTCGGGTAGAGCTTTGCTTCTAGCAACTAGCTTTCCTTCAACGTAACCTAGTATCATTATCACTAAGTCTTAGTCTAATATTCTACATGAATAGAAAGAATGTAGACCTATCTATCATTCTCATGAATACTGATAGTTCTATCAAATAAGGATTAGCCAAACAGGACAGTCTGGAGGCAAGACCATTTCGACATATTGTTTTTCTGAAATCCAACACCCAAGTCGATGTGACCATTTTAGATACCTCTCACGTAAGTAGATCAATCAGCATATGACTTGAAATCACTTACAAATCTTAATTATAGGTTCATAACAACGAATATAGCTATAATTATAAATTACGTGAGGGCAGAGTAACTGTAGCTCACTTACAAATTATGGATGAGAACCAGGGTCCTAGTGGGCAAAACTTCGACTTAGGGTCTCCTACTCGAAGGCTACTACTCGAACACCTACTCCGGGGTGCCGTAGTGCTTTGCCTCAGGCTAGAAACGAAAAAAAAATATAGGTTTACATGAGGGATAATCGACAGAGTGGATGTAAGAGTGTGCGGAATGAATGAAGGACTGTTGGCTATTTATAGGGCTAAAAACGCATATGCACGCCACGCCTAAGGCATGTGCGTCACATACTTCAAACACGTCGATCCATTGGTTAGCTAACACATGTCACTCATCAGCTGGAGTAGTGTGGCTGACTTCGCATGCAAGCTACGCGCGTCGCGCTTGCGTGTCGATTTTTATAATTTAAAATTATGTATCTCCTTCATACAAGCTTCGTTTTTTTACGTTCTTTATATCCATGGAAATCTCTCGACGGGATCTACAACTTTCCTTTAGACTCCATCGGCTAGTTTTGACTTTATTTTATTTACACATACTTAGCCTATTAAAGCCCGTATAAAATGCATATCTCTCACATCCGGTGTCCATCTTCGATGGTTTTTATATTTTTGGAGTCCTCTTAAAGAGGCCTTCAATTGTCATTTAGATTGCTTTGGCCAAAACTCAACCAATCTAAAACTTGATTTCTGTGTGCATACTGCTACGATGATATCTTAGAAAAATTGTAACTTTCTCTATTGAAGTCAGATTCGTACGTTCCTTGTATGCACAAATTTGATTTTTCCTAATATTACGACTTTCGTTAGATCATTAGGGATAATAAGTAACCTGTCTCCAACTCACTATTTACGACATATACTATAACTCGATTAAGATTATTTATCTTAAACAATCTCTTATTTAAAAGTCATTATTATGTATTATAATAACTTTATTGCCTAGCCCTAATTTACGGGTGTTACATGATAAATCAGCAGCCAAGAGAAATTTGTTGTGTAGGGCTGAAAGCGAATCCCGACACACCATGGGGGTGCGTAGCGCCGATGTTAACTCCTTGTTTTGATCCTTCCTTTTAAATTCCATTTTTCCAACTCTTTATCCAAAACCTTTAAGAGTACTAATTATTATTTACAAAAGATATCTGGACAGGACATTGATAGGTAATGTTAATTGACTTGACTTAATTCATAAAGCTTTCCTAATAAATCTTGGCATTTACTGATCCTCAAGCTCATTTTTATGGGCAAGTACTCAATGTGCTAAATAGCTTAATAGATATAATTGGAACATCATTTTCTCAAATCAAATTCCAACGTAATAACATATATGTGCAAGATATGTTACCCAATCATCCAATCTATTAAAATCACATTAAAAACATGATTTTTCCTTTCATTTCCTAATTTCCCATTTTACCCCTTTTCTCTAACTATCATTATAATCACATTAGCTTGTGATGATTATTCATGTTGTTCTTGAATTCATAAACCAAAACCATTGTTATGAGCAAATACCACTTTATAACACCATTAATCATCATCAAAGTTCGTTAACTCATAAATGTCCCCAAATTACATTTTCTAAGTAATTGATTCTACCATTACTTTGAGCAATGCTTTTTCCATGGAGGAATTGAATACAAACATCTCCGACCGTCTTTAAATCATGCAAGGGGTAGATTAAAATCTAGGGTTTTAAGAGATAATACAATTCCAACATCAAATCTACCATGGAATGATAGATTTGAGTTAGAAACCAACATAGTCAACAAAATTGCTTATAACACAAAACCCTAGTCCTCAAATGAGTTGAAAATCTAATCAAATTCCTAATCCACAAGTGAAACACGAATTTTACACTAGAGGAAGAAGGGACCACTTGATTTCTTCAAAACTTGTACCAAATGAACCAAATAAGCTTGACATCAAATGAAAGGGTCTTCTTATGCACCATTTCACAGCTTCCCTTCTTCTCTCATCGATCCCATTTGACTGAAATGAAAGTGTATTATTATTTTCAAAAATTTCACTTTCTACCCCCATTTGCAATTTTGACAAAAGCAATCCAAACCTCTTTTAAGTGGGACTTTGCTAGCTAGCAAATACAAGTCCCTAACCATCCAAACTACGACTTATCTAATCCTAAGCCATCTAAGTTGTTCAACCTCTAGTCAAAGCTAAATTTCAATCCATTAACACAATTGGCCATTCTAATAAAATTAAATTCGTTAGGCACTAAAATCATATTATTTTATAAATAATATATAATACCAAAAAGTGTATTCTAATTTTTATCAATAGTTCCCATTTTATTTATTTTGTATTTATTTATTTATTTAATTATTACTTTAAATTCCAAAAGAAATATTTCTACCTAAAATCAAAAAACTTCTATCCCAACGATTAGGATGTTACAATTATTCACCCTTTAGGATGATTCCATACTTGAAATCGGTAAGGGAAATAGAAGTCAAAATCTTTCAACATGAATAATCCAAAGTTTCTTCATAAAACACCCATAAACTCCAAACAAAAAATAAAACAAGGGATAAACATTTGGATTATGAAATGATACTTTGGAGTTGTTCCTTGGTTTCTTGTTTATCTTGTGATTTCTTTGGTTTCTTTCTTTGTTCCCTGGGTTTGTCCCCTAGGTGTTGCCGTTTCTTTGATAGTTCTTTGCTGGAAGAGGTGGTATTGGTGGTGGTTTTCTGGTTGTCGATGGCGGCGGTGTGTAGATACGAAGAGCAAGGACAGAGATAGAGGATGTCTTGGCGGCAGCCGCCATTGAAGACCAGTACCACCACCAAGTGTTGACATAATCTGTCTTGATCATCGTTTCCAACACCATAGTTGCTTCAACCATCTGCAATCCAAGAATATAAAAATATAAAAATTAATAATTAATAATTAAGAAAATACTAATAACAAACTAACTAGTATGTTTAGTTTGGAATTCATTCAATAAAATACAACTCAAACTTAACTTATTTTTACAAAAATAATGAGAATTTTGAAATAAAACATACATTGTGAGTGTGTATATATATATATATATATATATATATATATATATATATATATATATATATATATATATATATATATATATATAACTTTTTACCTTCCTACCAAACTTCTTACCTTCCTACCAAAAATTTCCTTCTTATTTGATCTTGACTCTCTCTCTCTCTCTCTCTCTCTCTATATATATATATATATATATATATATATATATATATATATATATATATATATATATATATATGAATATGTATGTGTGTATGTATATAAGTATATTGTATGTATGTGTGAAATCAGATAGATGCAATATAGTCATTTTACTTGGGACTGGGCCGAAAAACGTAACAAAAACCACAAATAACGACCAAAATTTCAAACCCACTTCTATAAGGGCCAAAACCAAAAAAGAGCAAAAATGCAATTTACCTCATATACGGTGTTAGCTGATTTAACAAAAGCACACCATTCAGACCTCCATTCAGAACTTGCCCTAGACCCTCTTTTTGCTCCATTGGAAAGCAACTTCCATGTCCAACAAATTCATCTTCAACTGTCATAATGAATCACAACCAATACTGAGTTAACCGGGCCCCAGTCGACTCACCAAACCCAAATCCAAACCACAATCACACTTGTTCTTATGTTGTTCGAATTCAACATTTGCTGAAAAAGTTTCATGGCATGTAACATAGTGGTATCTACATGGCAACACCGGTTCCAAACAAATACACCTATGCCATTTTGCGTTCTTTCTTCTTGGTTTCTTCACTGAATCCAGATCTGTATTGTATTTCGCCTGCGGCAACTCAATTGCCTTTGTAGCAAGTTCGTTGTTATGAGAAAAGACCGTTTCGTCCTTGACCGAATTTGTTCCCGTTAGTTGAATGTGTTTCGTGATTGACTTTTGCCAACTTCGAGATCGAATTTCTCAATTCTCTTCTCTTCGGGTCGTTTCTTTTCATGTAGTTGATGAGATTCTTGATTTGTTCATCGTATTGGAATAAATGCCATGCACTGGATTCGGAATAACAAATTCCGGTATCGTTGACAACGATTCAGAAACGAGTCCCATTAGCAAACAAGCCAAGATATATCTTCTAGACACTTCTGGGCACGTCAGAGGATTAATCGGAAACTATTCCAATTTTACTTTGTTACCCTTGTCCTTCTTTGTATCTTTAGCATCACCGGTTATGTTAAACGAATTAGCTATTTTTCGCAAGGGCTTAATCACTAGCCTAGGTAGTAGTGTCATGTGGATCAGTAGTCAACTTGTCAACCTTATGTTTAACACAATTCATTTCTACTGTTTCCAGAAATGCCCCTGCCCCATATCAATATGTAACAGGCCTGGGGGCAAGAAGATTGTTTTCAAATTCTTCATATGATAAACAATTCTTTAAAACGACATAAGAACTCACATACCTGTGTAGAAGAAGAAGAAGAAAGATCAGAGCATGTTATAAAAAAACAAGAATACCCTTGCATGAATAATGCATACCTGAAGAAGGTTGCTATTGCATGAGAAGGTAGCCTTGAAGAAATGAGTCCCAACAGGAAAAGGCTCCACACCTTTTATTTTAATTTTTTATTTGAAATTGTTGAAGATGAATCAAATAAACGATGTTTGCAAAATATATAGCCTGAACAGGCTTCCACACCAGAGAGTTGTTCTATAAATTCTTGAACAAATTCAAAGTGTAATCCAAACTCATACTGTCTCAACCAATTTATCAATCACTCGGAAAACTCACAAGTCTCCTTGTCACCATGAATGACAGCTGGCACATTGACACATTGTTGTGAATGTAAAAGGTTCTCCAGATCTATGCTGACCTCGTGCGTAAAATGAACAGATGATAAAAAGTTATCAAATCTTCTGCATGCCTACAGTAACACTGCACGGCGCCGGTCTGGTTGATAAATTCTTTGTGAACATCAACGATGTTTTCTAATAGTAGCTTCCATGTTGATGATGTTGAAGACCATTCAACATATAGGTCACCAATTACATCTTCATACCCTACTTCATCACCGCTGCCCGGATCTATCTTGGTCATCTCGGTCAACTCGGTCACAACATTATCATGCTCATCAAGGTCTGCTCGACACATAATAGTTTGACCATATTGAATAGTTGATTCTGAGCAACTAGACCTTGTAATGGTGAAAAGTGGTCCACCTTGACCGTTATTCGACACCTCACATGTAAAAAGCGAGCCGGTAAGCTTTTCATGCCAACAGGATTTATACCCAATTGGCCAAATATAATTGGCACCGTAGTATAATGGGCTTGTAATGATTTTCCCAAATGAAAGAACATAAAAGTCTTCTAACTGTATGGGAAGTTGAACCTAAATATATAGCATAAACATAATCCAAAATGTAAATAATCGACAAAAAAGATATGAACTAAAAATGATGGTCAATAGTAAACATTCTGGCTTACATTGATCTTGTGTGCCATCAATTACATTGATCTTGTGTGCCATCAACCTGATATGATATCTGAATGAAGCAAAGCCAACAGAAAACGTAACAAGTCAATGCAATTAAACCACAGTCAAATTCAAATTTGGGGAAGTGATCTATTTCTCCAAATTCGCAACTATTGATTTGATTTTTCGATGTAATCTTACAAAGAGGGCATTATGGTAAATTCACAATACTTGGTTTGATTTACCATTTTAATTGATATGGCAAACGGCGGAAAACATAACCTATTCCACTCTTTGCTATTTAGATTTCCAACTTAATAACAATTACCAAAGTGCCCTTAACTTGGAATGCTATATAAATTTCTAGTTTAGCAATACTTACACACTGTTTGGCAAACTAGTTGAAAAACTAACTTATAAATAAGCTATCTCAAACTAGCTTATCAATACGCTAGCTTATAAGCTACATTATAAACTATGGTAAGATACTTTTATTGTTTTAACAAATGCTAAATTACAGTAAGCTAACTTATTTTAGCCAAACATGGCCTTAGTAAGATTATTATAATTTAACCTTAAGTTCTCTCTTATTGAGTGTTTGTTGATCCTAAATAGAGAAGCCCAAATGCTTTGTTTGCTTCTTCCCTTTTGTAGGATTTGAACTATGAAATCTTGTTTTGTGTGTTGGAATGAAATGAGAAAGGTGTTGCTTGGTGACATTATTTTAACATTCCAAGTAATTATAAAGAAAATGGATATAGATATGAAAAAATGGAATCATTCCAGCATTTCATCCCTTCATTTCAAAGCCTACCAACCAAGAATATAATGTTACTTCTTAAAAAGAAATAACACCAAACATATGATGGAGAAAATGAACTTAAATGGTAAAATAACTATCTAAAAGATTTATTATATTTCATTCCAAAATTGATAAATAAATCAAACCCACAAATTGAATGGTAATGAACCATACCATTACTTTCTTCATTACATTTTTTCCCCATTGACTGCTGGTCAAGAGAAGCCTACAGCAATGAAAATATGTTACTTTTCTTCATTACATTCCACCTCGTTATTATAAACAAAATATGCAAAGGAATGTTATAAAAAACATAATAGCCAAAAACAAGAATAAGAAACACAACTTCAATTTTTAAAGCAATAAGATAGAATAGAAAATCAACCAAAATATTGAAATGACCAAAAAGATAATCAAACAAACATGAGAAGAAATAAGTTATAATAATATAAAACTACAAAAGCACATTGTCCCTTGTGAAAATTAAATACATTTACCATAACTAGTAACAAAGTTAATCATTTCAGAAGCTTATGTTTTGCAATGTATACTTTATATAAGTATTACTAATATAAGTACACTTTATATAACTAAACTTTATTTTATATGATAGGTCAAAGTCAATGCACATTTATGCAGCAACATTCAATCTTTTCCCAATTTATACAGCAAAATGGCAACAATATTTTTCTTAAATGACACAAGATATATTTAAGCTTGGGGATTCAAAATTAGCAAACAAATTCTCTTTCCCTTTTTATTTATTTTGAGAAAAACTTGCCTTTTAATTATCTTTTCGGGATCTTTCTTCTATCATGTATTCTTATATAGTAAACTGAGGGGCCAATGGATGCATAGCAACTTTGACACACATTCAATACTTGGCATATCGATCCTATTAAAAAGACAAATAAGAGGCCATATATATAGTACATAATGAGACTTCAATATTATTTACCATTTCTCACTGCCATCATAACTAAGTTTCATATAGAAATGAAATAAATTACCTACAACTACAGATACTTGCAACGGAACTATTGCATAATAATCAGGGGCGAATCGAAGGGGATGCCGGGGTATCGGATACCCCTCAAATCTTTTCCGGTAGTGTAATTGATTTAGGAAATTTTCGTTTTATTTATTGTATATATACGCATCTCTTCACTCATAAACACAAACTAACAATTGGTCTACTGGTTAAGATGCTTGCTTATTGAAGCAAAGGTCTTAGGATCAATTCTTGTTTCTTACATATCCTTTGTTTTTACCACACCTGTAAACTAAACCATTTCGTCTATTATGTAAACTTGTTATCCACAAGCTTCATTTGATACCTACTTTGAGTCTCATATCGATTCAAGTATTAAAATATACTTCAACTTTGAGTCCCATATCAATTCAAGTATTAAAATATAATTCAACTTCATGTTTATATAACAAGACTTAAGGTTAGCTATGGATTTGATTAAAGTTTGAATTTAAAACTAAAATCGAACTGGGAAACCCATGTACCCTGGAAAAAAAAATTGGTTTTCCTAAAAAAAAAAATTGTAATAACCCTTTACTTTGATCCTGGCTCCGCCACTAATAATAATTACTATGCGCAACAATCATAATGAACACCAAGGTGATTAATTTCATCTTAAAAAAAATTGCACTTCTCCCCACAAACTTTTGCTAACTAACTTAAAAACAAAATTTTAATTTTAACTTCGATAAAAAAATCCTTCTACAATTTAGATTTTCTTACCAAAATAGAGAACCAAAAAAATAACAATAGTAATAATAATAATAACAATAATAATGAGAATAACAATAATAATAACTTGATACCTTCAATTGCCATTGCAAGTAGTCAGATCTCTATCGTGATTGCGCCTGTATATCTGCATGTTATGATTTCAAAATTGATTAATTAGTAATGTGAAATTCCAAATAATCTTCTTTTGTTCGATTGAAAAAAATGAATAAGTAATTGCATATTTACAGAAATAAATCAATTCCCCAATTATAATTTTGATTGCACTTCAAATGAATAGTCTTGTTACAATAGGGTTGGATTCATTCAGATATCAAATTAATTACACATAAGATTGATGTACGTTTAAATTTTTTGTTGTCAGATTAGTTTCTTGTCAGTAATGTTCATTTTGGAAAATGTTTGTTTACCTTCCCATATAAGTCTTGTTGGCATGAGAAGATTACCGGCTCACTTTTTACATGTAAGGTGTCAAATAACGGTCAAGGTGGACCCCTTTTCACCATCACAAGGTCCAATTACTCAAAATCACCTATTCAATATGGTCAAACCATTCTACGTCGGGCAGCCCTTGATGAGCATGACAATGTTGTGACCGTTGTGACCGAGCTGGCCAAGATAGATCCGCACAACAGTGATGAAGTAGTGTATGAAGATGTAATTGGTGACCTTTGTTTTGAAGGATCTTCACCATCTTCAACATGGAAGCTATTATTAAAAAAGATTGTTGATGTTTACGTAAAAAATTATCAATTGGAATGGTGGTGGCGTTGTACAGTTATTGTAGGCATGCGAAAGATTTGAATTTCTTATCATCTGTTCATTCCATGAACCACCTCAGCATAGATCTGGAGAACTTTTTGAGTGTGTCAATGTGGCATCTGTCGTTAAAAGTGACAAAGAGACTCGTCAGTTTTCAGAGCTAATTAAAAGCAAGATACTAGAATGATATTTTTGTCTCACAAACTTTTGCTAACTGACTTCTTAAGTCCCTAACTAGTAAGAATGACTGGGACAAGGTAGGCTTTCAAAATTGAACAAAATCCTTCTCGATCTTTTTGTTAGTTCGACCAATCGGTTTGGCATCGGCATCTAGATTTTTTTTTTTCTTTTCAAAACAGAAATAAACCAGGAAATCGATTGCAAATAATTTTATACCTTCGATTGCAGTTCCAGAGAACCAAATTCCTGATGGGATGGCGGCTTATTGGCTTATACCAAAAGGAGGTTGGATTTGAAACCTACCGTCCACCGACAACCTGTCACCCTCCGCATATCAACAAACCAAGAACATCCGCCTCCATTTTCCGCCATGTCGAAGAATCAGATTATCCAAGAACAATCGCCGGTCTCCGATGGCTATAGAGGGGCGGCGTCTTCTTCGCCATTGTCCAACCCGGGTTTGCCCCGGGTGACATGGCCGCCATTGTTTTGTTTGACAATAGTATATTCGGCGCTTCACCTGCCAACTTTGGGTTGCCTTTTATTCTATTGTTGAAGAGAAATTATCCGAATAGTCCCTATAGTTTGTGTCCGTTTTTCTTTATTTATTTTTCTAACAAGAAAGGTCCTTATAATTTGATTTTTTTCAGTTTTATTTTTATCCTGCCATATCTAAAAATACTATTTTTTTTTCTTACTAATGTATTTTTAATTAATATATTTCTTATATATTTGTTAAATTAAAGCCTCGGTGACTGTTGATGATCAATGTCAATGTCTAACCCCTTTACCTCCAACAATTACTGTCAGTCCACTCCGGCAACCACCATCAACCACTCCAGCAGTCTAGCCAAAACCAAATCAAAACCTACAACCAAAATAATTACCATTAAGTTTTTCATTTTGATCTTCAACCTATTGTTAAATGAACCGAAAGATCCAAACGACACGAATTATAAAAACCATATCGATACTTATCACTAACAAATGTTATTATCAAATTAGAGTATAAAAAATAAACTGAATCAAGCTACTAACTTAAGACTAACAAACCATCATGTCAATCGACACCAAAATTTTGTAAATTACATGTGGATAAGGCATTAAATACCTTATAGATTCTTGTCGGGAAAAGGAGATGGGGCAATCGGTTTGAAAGAAGAAGAGAATTCATCCTATTGTGAACCCTAGAATTTGATAGAAGTTAATTGCTACAAAGAATATGAAGTCAAAGAATAGATAACGAAACTTTTTAACTACACCTCTACAAGAAACGACAGCTAGGCCTCGTTGGTTGGATATGTAGCCCTCATTTTCTCTCAATTTGAGATGCTTTATAGCCTAACCCTTTGGATTGAGGTGGTTTATGGGTTTTTCGAAGAAGGCTTTCGATAGGGCGGCGGTTGTGTTTCTACAAAGAAGACGGTAGAGATGGAAACAAGAGAGAGAGAGAGAGAGAGAGTAACGTTAGCAGGTGTGGGAGTTAAATAACATATTAATATAGTTTTGTATTTACTGATAACATAAAATATAGATAAAATTAGAAAAACAAATGAATAAAAGTAATAAATAGTCTTTATATATATATATATATATATATATATATATATATATATATATATATATATATATATATATATATATATATATATATATATATTATATATATATATATATATATCAGCCTAAAAACCATATAAAAATTTTCATTTTAATTTAAGGTTACAATCATAAGTTCAATTCCAAAATTCAATACATCATCATAAAAAGTCATCAGAGTGTCAACAACAAAGTGGAGAGTGAATGTTGCGCCATCAAGTCGGACCCTTCCCTTTAGAACCGGAAGTAACTTAAATCATAATACAAACGGTAAGCTAACGCTTACTGAGTTTTCCCAAAATAACACATACTAGTCATCTCAATGGGCCCCTCCCTCGGGTTTATTCAAACCTAACACAAGAATGGGCCCTCGCCTTAGGGCCTCGCCCAGGTATATATTTCAACCCAAATATATCACAGTGGGCCCCGCCCTAGGGTGTGTTTCAACCCGATCACAACATGGAACATACAATAACTAACAAATTGCATAAACATGTAATGGGTCAGCATTGGTGCCTTCGACCCGTAATACCGGGAAGAGACTCACCTTGGTCTGCTAAAAATAATAATTGCCCAACTACCAATCTCCAAACATCTCACACTGAATAATTATACAAAATACCTTAACTACAATTATGACACAAACCCAACCAAGGCCCAAAGTCCCTTTAATAAGGCCCAAAAGCATTTTCCTTCAAATAGGCCCAACCATATTTAGCCCATTTACAATAATGGGCCTAAGGCCCAAAAGGCCCAACCCATGACACTAGAAGCCCACAAAGGAGACTAGGTTCACCTAACCTAACCAGGTTAAGGCCCACAATACAACCCTAAACTCTTAGGGTCTAAAAACAAACCCGCCACCAAAGGCCTAATTACTGTAGCCAACGGCTAAGTACGCGGGGCATACTCAGCTTATATGCTAAGAGTACATGCTTAAGGTTATGTATGTTTTGCGTACGAGCTTGTACATCAAGTGTACTCCTCTGACTTGCCAACTTTGCATTTTAGCTCTTATTTGGTTAAGACACTTGCTCCAATACTCTGACCTCCTTTATGTGGTTAATCACGTAAAGTTGCCAACTTTACATGCATGCATGACTTAGTCAAGCCCAAAAGACCAAAACAAGCTCTAGAGGATATCTAAAGAATAAATGAGCAAGGTATGAGCTTTATACCTCTAGAATCTTCCTAAGATGATGAAGATGTTGGATCTATAAGCTTTACCACACCCAAGGATTGCACCACAAACTCTTCTCCTTGTAAACACACCCAAAAATGGCTTCCTTTTGACACTCCAAACTCAAGCTCACTTCAAATGGCAATTAGGGTTTCTAGGGACGTTAAGAGACAATGAAGGCTGATAGACATAAGGTCCAAAGGTTATAAGTTGGTTTAAATAGGACACAATACCAAAATTTTAGGGTTTCTAATACATGCTACGTACGCCCGCGTACGAGGCTCTGATGCTCGATGGTGTGCACCCTCGTATGCTAAGCAAACATGTGTGTATGCCCAGCATACGAGGGGAGGGTCCTTAGCCAAAAACATAATATTAGAAAATAAAGGAAAATTACCTGGATTTTTAGATGCTACAACTCTCCCCCACTAGAATTAGACTTCATCCTCGAAGTCTGCTAATGCCAATAAGTCTGGGTAGTGCTCTCCCATCTCGTCATCTGGCTCCCAGGTCCACTCAGAGCCTCTCCGGTACTTCCATTGCACAATTACCAAGTCCACCACCTTATTACACAGAGCTTTCATCTTTCTATCAAGAATTGCAATGGATTTCTCAACATAATTCAGGCGCTCGTCCACCTGAATGTCATTTAACGAGATCACTACAAACTCATCGGTGACACATTTTCGCAGTTGAGATACATGGAAAGTGTTGTAGATTTGACGAAATTCATCTAAGAGATTCAGCTGGTAAGCAACCATGTCAACTTGGGGAGAAATCCGAAATGGACCAATGAATCGAGGACCCAGCTTGCCCCTCTTTTAAAACCAAATGAAACCTTTACATGGTTACACCATCAGCAATACGAAATCTCCCACCTGAAACTCGAGATCCAAACGACATCGGTCAACATAGCTTTTCTGACGACTCTGTACGACTCGCAGCCTATCGCACACCTGCTGAATCAACTCAGTGGTCTTAAGCACCACCTCGGTGCTTCCCATGACTCGATGACCAACTTCCCCCTAACAAGCCAGAGTACTACACTTCCTTCCATACAAACATCTCGAATGGGGGTCGGTCAACACTAGCATGATAACTATTGTTGTAGGGAACTTTGCTAGTGGGAGGTAAGTATCCTAACTCTTTTTGAAGTCTAGAACGCACGCCCGAAGCATATCCTCGAGCGTCTGGATCGTCCGCTCGCTCTGCCCATCAGTCTGGGGGTGGTAAGTTGTACTGAAGTACAACTGAGTACCTAACTCCTCATGAAACTTCCTCCAAAACCTGGAGGTAAACCGAACATCGCGGTCTGAAACCACATATATCGACACTCCGTACCTGACTACCACCTCCCGAACATAGATATCCGTTAATTTCTCAGCGGATATACTCTCAGCAATCGGAATAAAGTTTGCACTCTTGGTCAGCCTGTCCATAATAACCCAAATAGAATAAACACCCCGTGTCGTCCTAGGTAATTTCGTGATAAAATCCATGGTGATCTCCTACCATTTCCACATGGGACGACCAACGGCTGGACCTTGCTGTGAGGCCTCAGATGTTCGACTTTGACTTTCCTACAGGTCAGACACTGCTCAACAAACCAAGCAAATTCCTTCTTCATGCAGGGCCACTAGTAGCTCAATTTCAGGACTAGGTCCATCTTCGTGGCCCTCAGAAGGATAGAAAACTTGGACTTATGATGAGCCTCCTTCAAAATCTTCTACCTCACCCCACCAAATGTCGAAACCCAAACCCTACCACACTGGGTTAATAATCCCCGACTATCTCTGACAAACATCGAAATCTGCCCTGTAATCTGCTCAGTCTTCCTATTCTCCTTTTTTCAATCCTTCTACCTGATCCTCCTTGATCATATCCATCAATGGTGAGGTAACTGTCATCCTCAAACAAATATCTCGGATTAGAGGATACGCCGCCTTACAGATCAAAGCATCGGCCACCACATTGGCCTTCCCGGGGCGATACAAAAACTCGCAGTTATAATCTTTTACCACGTCTAACCACCTCCTCTGCGGCATATTCAAGTTCGGTTGATCCATCAAATAATTCAAACTCTTATGATCAGTGTAAATAGTACATATGA